ATACAATGTGTAAGATCTCTTACAATACCCTAACATATGAACTCAACTTCCACATGCATGGTGGTATTCTCCGGCTTTATTGATGACGTGGTCAAGAAAGAATCCAGCCAATTCCTCTTGAATTGCTCGCATGCGATCTTGTGGTAGGAGTTCATCCGGCATCGACCACATCTAATTTAAAGAAGGGGTTAATACATATATATGAATGAAACTCAATACAAATGATGGTAATAAAATAAAATTATGAATATGTTTGCTTACGCACTTCATATTGTCTATTAGAGTAGCCCCGCCTATTCTTGGCCGTCGCGTTGTAGATGAACTCGCAGATGTAGTATCCACAGTAATTATTCCCGGCTTCCTGCCACAAGCACTTTACGAGAAATAGAGGTCAATCAAACTGATAATGAAGCATTATAAATGGGCATTGATGAAAGTAGCTAGAATCAACGGGAGATGCGCGGAACTAGCTAGCTAGTAGTACTTACTTTCGGGTAATTCCATCGCAGTTCCCGTGGTAGTCCCGAAACTTGTGCGGTGAATACTTTCCAACCCTGCAAGACAAAGAAACAATTACTTGATATCATGAAATGAACAAAGTTGCCGATATAGCGCGATAATGATCGATTCAACTTACTTCTCGAGCATTTTAGACATGTCCACATAGTCAGAGGGATCTTTTCGTCTCGAGTCTAAAATGTTTACTAGTCTCTACTAAAGCTTAATCTCTAGGAGAATATAGTGGAAGCTGCGCACGCATGCATAACTCATCAATTACATAACCTTGAGTAATAATTAAGGGAAACCGAATATGCACAACACAGTAACACTCACTTGAAGTTGTAAGGAAAGAGTATTGTATCTTTGTTTTGATTTATTACCAACGATCGTAGCAAGTTGTTTTCAGTTTCTTTGGCATGAAATGTAATCGTAAATTGATCTATGAGATTTGTGTTAATGAACCCAATATCATACATTTCATCTTTTCTGCATTCGGCGATCTTCAACCTGCATAATATAGCGAGGATAATTATATATACATGCAGTGACAGAGCTGAGCTATATATAAAGACTTAATGACAGAAGTAGTACTTACAAACAGTAGCAAGTTACCATTAATTTATTGAGGGCCTTTTGATTGAAAAACTGGAAGAACTCCTCAAATGGAACAGACAACTGCTCAATTCCAATGATGTCATGATGATCCTCTTTAACTTTCAGTGTTAAAGTATCCATTTTTTCTCCCCTGCAAACTTTCTGCAGGTTTCCATGTACCAATCATGGAATCTTCACATCATCGTTATTAGAGTAGTAACATCTTTGACGAGAGGCTTCCCGTACTCATATTTGAATTCTTCCACCTCCATTGTATCAAAATGTGCATCGTCGGGCACGTAATCTGCCGGATTGGTACCGGGCAAGATCCCCGGATGATTAGCAACGATATCGCTAGACACCTTGAGCGGGGGGCACGATTGATTCTCTTGTTCGCCGAGATGGGGAATTTTTTTCCCACTTCTTCGTTCTTGTAACCTTTTGTCACTGCAAGTACTTCCCAACCGCTTTGCTTCCTTATATTTTTTTTCAGTAATGCGCTCATAGTTGGTTTGCGGCGGAGACGGTGGTGGTCGCTGCAGGACGTCCAAAGTGCGCTTTGCTTTCCCCGGATCTATCTTCTCCTCCGGAGGTGGATGTCTCTTAGCTCTTTGCGTTTCAAAGTAGTCCTCTACTTGGGCTTGATAGATCTCCTCATTTTCCTGTACGGTCATATCATATGGTAACTTCTCTCGAGTCTTGAGAGATGGACCGAATCTGTATTGCCTCCCGCCTCTGGCTGTACTGCTAGATGCCGGAGCAGGCCGAGCAGCTGCGGCTGTCTTCTTTCATTGCTTACGAGGCGAAGGAGAAGGACTACGACGCGCCGGAGCAACCGGAGCGGCGGCGGGTCTCTTCCTCCCTTGCTGACAAGGCAGAGAAGGAGGAGGCTGGCTGGTCGGGCGCGCTGGCGCAGGCGGAGAAGGAGGCGGAGTGCCCCCACGCGTCGGAGAAGGAGGCGGAGTGCCCTGATCACTCGCTGGAGGAGCAGGCGGAGGAGGAGGCGGAGTGCCCTGACTCGCCGGAGGAGGAGGAGGAGGAGGAGGAGGAGGTGGTGGAGGCGTCCAGTTCGGAAGGTTGATGAGCTCCTTCTGCCATAGCCATGGAGTCTTCAGAGCAGAACCCAGCCTAGTCTCCCCTTCACCGGTAGGGTGGTCAAGCACGAGCTCCTCAAATTCCTCTGTTACTTCCTCCACCATCACCCTTGCATATCCTTCTGGAATTGGACGGGAGTGAAAAGTTGCGCCGGGTTCAGTAGGTCGAACAGAGCCGACAGCCGCCTTGACTTTGTAATTCTGCCATTGCGTCATAAGGTGGCACTATTGAGACTCTATGATATCATCCACGGGGTAGCTAGCAGGAGCCGTGAAGACAGGCTCCAGCTGAAGCGGATCGGTGGAAGCCACACAGCTTCTCCGCTGAGATGGCAGGGTAGCTTCGGGGGTAGCTTCGGCAGGTCCCTTGATTCGAACTGCTTCTCGTTCCTCTAGCTTCTGTACCCTTGCATGCAGCTCCTGCAGTTCACTCTACTCCTGTTTCCTCCTCCTCTCCTGGGTTTTGTAACCGCCTGCGTCCGGAAACCCAACCTTCCACGGAACAGAGTCTGGCGTGCCTCGTGTCCGTCCAGGGTGCTCAGGATTCCCAAGGGCCATTGTGAGCTCGTCCTTCTCTCTATC